CGGACTGTTTGAGATTTTTTGCTTGTACGCATCATGTCTTGCGCAGTTTCCAAACAGTTTTGGATGGATGTTAGAACCAGAACAAACCTAATTTAGACTTGAGTGAACATAGAGATTCCAATGCTTGGATAATTTAATAGAAATAGAGTCAATATGATCATTCCAGGATAATTCGGAGTGAATGTTCAATCTTAAGAATTTAACTGTTTTTTTCTGCACAATATAGATTTAGTATTAGCTCTAACCAATATACTGCAGTCCATTACTCTAAGCGAGAAAACAATGGTATTTGATTTATTGCTATTTAGTATGATGCCATTTCTGGCGCAGAAATTAAGCATATTAGCAACTGCAACATCAGCCTGGTCTGATAACCATTCACAAGAAGAAGAACTCAATAAGAAGGACGTGTTGTTGATTAATATTAGAGATGTCGTTGACGAATAAGAGAAAGAGAGTAAGACACTACCTTGGGGAACACCTGTTAGGATGTTATGATTTTCAGAATGATATGTTCCCGATTTGAGAGAGAAGGTTATACTTTTTACAGAAGGATACAAGTCTGTTGAGATGGGATTTTTCGAAAATTTTTGAAAATGAAGACAGCAATGTAATATCTTTGTAGTTGGGATTAAATGCTTATCATTTTTCTTGTGAACAGGAACATTTTTAAATTAATTACTTGCTTTCATTTTTTGAAATATTCACACATTTTGTTTTTTGCATAAAGGTGGAGAAGTAGAAAGCCAAAACCCTTCTTTCCCAAGAACAGTATAAAGTGAATTATTTTGTTATATATGTCTCGAAGGGAATCAATATTTTCCGAGATATTTGCAAAAAAACCAAATCCCCCTTTTTTCACTAAATTGTTTATGACTTTTGCGATTTTTTCGAGCCCCTCTTAAAATATTTTCAAAATGTTGCTAGAGGTCATTCCGAATCGAATGAGCCCTGAATCATAATTTTCGGTGTCCTTGGACAGAAGTTTCAAAAAAAGTATCTTTTGACCCAGACTAACTCTCCGACTACCTCATTTTCAAGCACTTCAATAAATTTCTCATCGGTAGATCAAGATCAGCAAGAAACGGTTTTCGTCGACTTCAGTGAGCACACAATTTTTATGCTGACGGAATTAATCGACTTGTGTTACGTTGGCGGAAGTGCACTGATTCAAATGACGCGTATTTCGAATAAGTTTGACAACAAACTTTGCTGCCACACGCTTTATGTCCAAAATTTACAATAAAATTGCATGACATGAGTCAACTGATACGTCTAACTTTTATACCTCTCACCAACAAACTGAATATGCTGAACAGCTGAAACTATGAACATATGTTCGAGACCAGTATACCACGATAAAAAAGGTAAAAGCATGTACATAACGTACATTTTGAATATTCACTTAATATTTTGAACAGACCTCGTATATGTATATATGTTACTGTTCCCAGACAATAATCACAGGAATTCAAGGCGGTTTTTTTGCAATGCTCATCGTCAGAATGCTGATGGTCATACTTGGCATCAAAAGGATGTCTTGATAATTGGAATGAACGAATTTCGCATTAAGAATGCACAATAGCAGATTCGGGTACGGAATCGAGAAATGATGACCTTTATGTGAGCAACGAGACCATTTAGTGACTGTTGTGCTGAAAGAATCCCAGTGAAACTTCGCTGCGACTTTGAAGAAACTTATGAAATATATCAAAAATAACAAAAAAATAACAATTGAATAGAACAATGAAAGGCGATACAATAATTCACATTTCAAAAACTACACCTCACGATTTGATCTCCATAAAATGTAATTGAAAAATATATCACATGTTTCGCTAGCAAGTGTTACAACTCACCCATTGGTGGGGGTAAGTTACATCTACAGGGACAAGTAGTAACAAAAGTAAAATGTAAAATCACACAGTTTTAACCATTTATTTTTTGTTTATTGTAATCATCACGAAAGACTTAGGCTATTAATTATTATAAATGCGATTTTTTTAACTCTACGTATGACCAACATGACACTTGGAGAACAGTCAATCAAATCATTCACTTTTAGTATCTTATATAATGAACAATGTATGAGTGAGTTTCTTTATAATCGAATTCAATCTTCATCTGTTGATAGAAACAAACGAAAGGAATAATGTTCTTGTGACGTATTTTAAAAGTGGTCACTTGAAATAACTGATTCAATTGGGTAGAACAATTGTCTCTATTTGAATCTTTATAAGGTTTAACACTTCCTAGACAATATCATTCTCTAAATCCAGATTCTGGATCAAAAGATTAAGTCTTTTTTAAACGCTATTTACTCCGGTTTTATTTTTAGTTGATTTACCTTCTCCGTTGCCTTTTCTCTTTCTATATCTCTTCCCTTTGCTCTCATTTCTGTTATATTTTTTGTTTTTTCTATATCTTTTTTTCATATTCCAGTTTTTTCCTTTTAAGGGATAGGTATCTATTAAAACAGTCGATTTGAGTTTCGGTTACTTATTTGTATTTTTTTTTTGTTTTGGGAAATCCTCTAGAAGCAGGTATAAGAACGCAGATATATACACAGCAGGAACACATATTTTCATCTGTTTAAAAAACATCTGTTTAAAATCTGTTTTTCCGTTAATCAGCTGTCGCCCACATACGAACGACAACTCTCAGAAGTTGAGAAACTTGTGCGAGCTAAAGACTAACGAGGTATTACCTTTTAACGTGTTATTCCTAATACTTCAACTTTGAAACTTCAACTTTGAAAACTTTAACTTTGAAACTCAAAATATCAACTTTGATCTCAAAATTTCGAAAAAAATGTGACTCTATCGGAAAATATCTCGAGACTTTGCGGTAGTACTTCTGACACAACAGTATTATAGTACATATTCATAAGTAATGATTTGCAAATGTTTTGGAGAAATTATGTGAATGTTAGCTGTCTTATCAAAGTTTGAAAAACTAGGTACACTCGTACGGTGCCTCAGCCACCGTATTCAACGGATTTGGCGCACTGTGACGTTTTCCAGTTCCCAACTTAGAAGATACCTTTCAAACGGCGGCGTTTTGCAATGATTGAGGAGAGAAAAACTGAATCGCTGCGCTGGTAGAACTCAAAGACATACTAACCTAAAGGTATATGTCAGAACTGCTAGTGTAGTATATCTGAGAAAGGGATAAAATAGAAATTGATGAATGAATAAATATTTTTTGAGAAAAATGAAAATTCACCTTATTTTCTGTACGCAATATAAAAAAAGTTTATGAGGACTGGAAAAAAAGGAATGCTATTAGAGACAGCAATCAAAGTAATTTGATTGATCAAGGAATTTATTACAGCTGGACTCGATACTTCTTACTTCTGGAGAATTATTGATTGTTACTTAAATTATTGAGTGAAATGAAATCTCAAATGAACCAAATGATAGGTACGGATGTTACTTGGAAATTTCGAAATGGAAACTCCGAATTTCGACTTTAATCTCGAAATTTCTGATTCATAGTGGAGTTTATAGCTTTGGTATCGACTGCCGACGCGGTTGGTATCGCAACTGACCGCCTTGAGGAGCCTCGTTCATCTTTGACATTCGAAGATTGAGTTCTCTGTCGATCCTCATCCGAAATTTTGACTTTAATATGGAAATTTCAATACTGAAGTTCTGAAGCCAGAATTTCAAAGATGCAAATAATTAAAGTATGTGATTTTTCTGCGCTTCCGTAATATTGTACCTAGTAATTAAGTGGAGAAATTTAAAGTGAATTTCACAGCATTTTTTCCATATTCAGGTGTTAAAATTACATATCTTTGATAAGAGTACGTAAAGAAAATCATTCCTGATCTTGATTTTATTTTTCCCCTTGATATACTGTTTCATTTGCGAACTGATATTATTGAACAAAATTCAGTTTCAAAGTTTATTGCTTTTATAAATGTTGACACAAATAAATTCTTGTAATGCATTGTTTGGAACCTTTGGTGTAGTAATGAATATTACTGGAGTCTTCGTATTAATTTTCAAAACAACATTCATCAAGCAGAATATCACTAGAAATTTAATTGTTTATCCTTTCAAATGTGGTATCACTCGATCTCCCTTCCCACTGAATATTTAGGGATTGAAGCCCACCCCGCGAAGGATTGCAAGTGTCAGAGGTGAGAATACGCAAAAATCGTTTCTCCTCGAAATGAAAATCGATGTACTTATCTCGAAAATTTTTTGTTTTACGTTCTGTCTGTAAAAAAGGTGAATTTTCATTTTCCTCAATAAATATTTATTTATTCATCAATTATATCTTGTCCCTTTTACCACTTGTGCCAGCGTTTTTACTAATTCTCGAAACAGTTCTGATATGCACTTTTTGATATCTCCTTGGGCTCTCTAAGCGATTCGGTTTTTATATCCTCAATTGTCGCAAAATGTCGTCCTTTCATGGGTATTTTCGAACTTGGGAACAGGAAAAAGTCGCAGGGGGTCAAATCTGGTGAATATGAGGGCTGAGTCGTGATTACGGTGTTGTTTTTGGACAAAAATTACGAACAAGCAGTGACGGGTGAGCAGATACATTATCGTGATGCAAAAGCCATGAATTGTTTTTCCACAATTATTTCTGTTATTGCTAACTCATTTACTTCAATAATTTCAACATCCCATTCATTTTTATTTCATTTGTTTTTTCATAGAATTATTGTCTGTTAACGAGTCTGTTAATATCGTTTCAACAAAATAAACCTTCACCAAAAAACATGGTCAACCCCTTCCGAACCCGTTCAAAACTAGGTGAACCTAGCGGTGTGGTCAGATGAAAAAAATCGCCGATGATTTTTCCCCAATTCTGAGATTGAAAAATAGTAAAACTGGGCCTGAAAACAAATTCTGATTCACGAAATTCGGTGCTTTAGTAGACTTTGCGAATGAAATAATTCCAATCGGATGAAAATTATGTATTAGCATTTTAAATGGAACTCTTGGCGTTCTAGGAATGCAAGAAAACAAACACAAACTCACCGCTCTGGTCCACCGCACGCTCGGTTCCGGATGACCCAAATAGGTGGCCTTGAGCAGCACCCGATCGCCCACAAGGGCGGTAGTGTCCTGGGGTCCCCTGAGCAGCATGGCAGCCGCCTCTTCCACGTCCTCCATCTCTTCTCGCTCCTCCATGGAGGCTCCACTGTCACTACAGCTATCGGATCGGTCGTGAATCGTGAGTTCGGCGTCGCAGCTCGCGACGTACGTCGATTCGAAACAGTCGACGATCGCGGACTGGCCGCCTCTTCCAGCGAAGCACTTGACGGGTCCGGCATCGGCCCGCGTCACCCCGACGATGTGAAGAATGCTGACGTCACCGTCTTCCTCGACCTGCAATCACGAAGGTATTGTTTAGATCGGAGTTCCAGCGATAGAGACGGGCGATCGGTACCCAGGGAGATCGGGTTTCTCTCGCAAGTCATAGGGCGAGTCGTAGACAGATTCCTATGAGACTATTTCACAGGTGTCATTTCGTATTTTTTGAGTTCGCCTTCACTGAAAACTGTGATTCGTAATTTCACTGGGGATTTACGATTTCAGCCAGATTCTCGAAAGTGTTCAAAATTTTATGTTAACAAATTGATGACAAATTTTCAAACAAGCTTTAATTTGCAAGCTCTGGAATCATCCTGTATAATAAACTGCCATCGATAATAATGAACAACGATAATAAGTGTTATAGTATGCTTTCTGTTTCAATCGACTTACCGTATGTACATAATGTACCCAATTGGCAAACATACATTATTATTATTATATCGTCGCAAGATTTACTTATTTCATATAATGAATAAATATAGTTTATAAAACTAAACAACACACTTTTAAAAAACATCAAACTAAACAGGTAAAAAAAAATTGGAATTGAAATATTAATAAATGCTGAAAATTGAAAATTATTATCAACAAAAATGAAAAACTTGAAAGATTTCAAACCAAGTTATGTCACGACGATTTGATTTTTGTATCCACAATCGTCTTTGGGTGATAACTGGACTTATCCCCCTCCCCATGCTCCCTCCCGGATTGAGTGCCCTGAAGTAGAAGCTTCTCCCCCCCAGCTATTTAGCGAGGAGAACCTAGTACCCCACTCCATCCACCCCCGCTCTCCGAGCGGTTCTCAACTTACTGATGGGCACTTCAGCAAGATTGACATCTGACCTCTTTTGGTCGAAAGTCAGCCTTTAGGTGCTATCCTTTCGCGATCGGTAAAAAGTGTTTTGTCTGACTATTCCTAACTGAATTTTTGCACGGGGGCCCCCAAAAACTAACCGGCGGCTATTGCTATTAACGTCGGGCTTTCCTCAGTGAATCTAAGGATAATTGGATCGCGGTCGAGTTGTTCTCCTCCGAGATACGACTATTTATAGGCCATTCGAGTGCTTTCACCTATCCCCTCTTCTCTCTCTCCGCTTCATTGGTTTTAGCGGGAGATGACCGTTTGGCGGGAGTTGGTCGTTTTTCGTTTGATTAGAGGTTTTCATATGTTACGTATCTCTACACTAACTCGACTAAATGCGTTGTTGGGCAACATATACGCGGCTTCTTTGAATTTTCTCCTAAACCAGTGTTCCTCTTTGTGGATGATTTCAGCTTGACCCCACTTGATATTATGTTGATGAGTCTAAACATGCTCTGCTATTCCGGATTTGCTGGTTTCTCCTCGCTGTGTATGTTTTTTGTTCTCAGCAATGCGAACTTTCAATGGCCTCTTAGTTTCACCGATGTATGACTATCCGCACTCGCAGGGTATCCGGTAAATGCAATTCTTGGAATCGCAGTCCGCGTTTGGTGGCCTGGTTTTCGTGAGGCTGCTACGGATAGTGTTCCCAGATCTGAAGCAGGTCCTGATGTTATAGTTGGACCCAATCCTTCGTATCCTTTCCAATAATCCTCTGATGTAGGGAAGTACAAGTATTGGTTGTGGTTCAAATCAATTCATATTATATTAGACAATGGAAGTCCGAACTGATGAAATACACCACGAAACATTGTCAACCTTCAAACAAAAGCTTTCATATCATATAAAATGTGTTAAGTAATAAATTGATGGATTTGATCTATTATGAAGTTCAGTTTCTTCTTTTTGGACCTTGCGAATAAGTTTTACATTTTTCACTATTGATTTATTTTTTATTCTTAAATTTTCGCTAAACATGTCTTTTAGTATGTTAATTTCATTCAATGTCATTGTTGTATAGTTATGACTCTTTAGAACTGGTATGACGGCCATCTTATTTTTCGCCATTTCGATTTTGATAATTTCTTTTCCGGCGAACCCTCCTTCCATTCGATACACTTGTCATGAGGATGCATAAAAACTTGTCAGCCACATTGGATGATCCGTCATATTACATTTAAAGTGACGTCGTAATATTTTCTGTATTATTTTTGGCAAACCTTTTGATTTGATAACCAAATCATGAGGGTTCATAAAAAACTAGTTCGCCATCTTGGACAGTCCGCTATATTGAATGTAAAATGGCGTCACTTAGCTAACCATGAATTGTCTTCCAAACTTAACGTGTATCAAAGTTTCAGCTCAATTGATTGAGAATAAATGCTTCAAAATTCAGTTGCAAAATTTGACTCGAATTGATATTTATGCAAATATTGCAAGTTGAGTACAGAATTATTCAAAAATGAAAAATATTGTAGAATTACTTACTCGTCAAGTATATACAAGAAGATCCTGCTGTCTTAAGATACAACAACTTTAGTAAATGAACATGAACATCACAATAAGCAAACATTTGCACAAAATGTGAATATTTTTGTTTGAATATTTTTAAATTATTTTCAAAGAAAACCATCTCCAACGTTCAAAGTACGAAGAGGAAAAGGAAGTGAAAATTTGACATTATATGACACTGACATTGACATTGATGTCAATGTCAAATTTTCACTTCCTTTTCCCCCTCGTACTCTGCATATTGGAGATGGTTTTCTTTAAAAATAATTTAAAAATATTCAAACAAAAATATTCACATGTTGTGCAAATGTTTGCTTATTGTGATGTTCACGTTCATGTTCATTTACTAAAGTTGTTGTACCTCAAGACAGCAGGATCTTCTTGTATATACTTGCCGAGTAAGTAATTCTACAATATTAAAAGAATTTAAAGTTCAATCCAAAATTAAAATTAATATCATTGAATATTACTCACTTGCAGGTATCGCACTGATGATGGCGTAACAGCCGAAAGCGCTTTGCAATTTACGAATAAATTTTTTTTGCACGCCCTACTTCTGAGTCACTGTAAATTTCCTGGATACATTGAATCAACAAAAGTATATTTCGAAACCAGTATTTTTTGTTGAAAGGGTGTTATATTATAATAATCATACCAGATATGTGAGTAGTGAATCGAGAATGATCGAAAAACGAGCCGGAAAACCAAGTATACATCTATCTGACTATCATCAAGCTGCACTCTGTATATTAGAATATAAAAACAAAATGTTTATTCAGTTCAAAATTAGGTCAATTATCAACTATCACTTGGATCATCAGGATCACTATAAAAACTGAATGATCTATGTTTTTTCCGTGAAAGTTGAAAACTCGTATACATCCGTTTCAAAAACATGCACCTTTTGGAACCATAAAATTGTTATGAAATAACAAATGATCAACAAGTTTAACGATTAGGTCAAACTATCATATTTTATTTCTTCACACTTTGCACATTCTAATAAATATAAAAGCGCAATTTGGATCGGAAAGTCAGGTTAGATGTTGAGGGTAGATGTTTTTTTTCAAATAAAGCATTCTAAAATACATTAGTTTTAACTTCAGATTTCAGGTTAGGTACATATGTTGGTTAGGATAGATTATGTTAGGATAGTTTAGTTGAAAAATACTCGAATTTATTTCATTCATTTTTGATGTATTTAATGGTAACTACAAACATTTAATTTCAGCTACAATCAACTCTATCGTTTGTGGTTTGAGGACAATTGTTGTTGTCATCGTAGTTCTTTTGCTATACTTCAAAAAAATATAAAATGAATTGATATTGTGTTACTACAATGAACTACAATCAATTTAGAACCTATTTCAAAACATTCTAGCGCATTATTGCTTGTATTTCGTTTATTTATTAGTATCGTTTGTAGGTAAAGTAGGCTAAGAAAAGGTAGATTTTTTTCAAATAGGGTTCCAGCGTGACGGAGCTATTTCAGGGCATGATACAAATATCAAATAAATGTAAGGTGAACATTTTCGAAAGATTTGAATTGTTGAAAAAATACTTTTTTTTTCATGTCCAATCAATTCTATCGATACATTTCAGATTTATGTCAATACTGACTTTAAATATTCAATACTGGTAACAGAAACACGTGTAAAAATTTTTCCAGCTAATTTACTAAAGATTGATATGAAACAATTCCAACATCGAAGTCATTTTTCCACACAACCTATTAGGGAAATTTGGTAAGTTAGGAGGGGTCTAATATTTTAACATACGGTCTTTGTCAAGGACAATGATAATTCATCCCAGCTCCAATCACTTTCTCGACTGAATATTACATTCCACAATTGCTTCAATTGAATGTACAACTCTCTGTGAATTATTACTCTACATGAGGAATAAGTTTACATTCTACAGTAATTAATGGAAATTTTTGATAAAATTTTCTGGCTACCTTATGACAAACATTATGCACATCATTTCGATTATCGATTCCTCATAGACATCATGAAACAAAATAACAGTACTATTGCAGCAAATTGACCTTTGATTTCCTTATATCTGCAAAGATGTAGAGAAGGTTTGCGAGGTTGTCCGCTGACGTCTCTGCCTATTGAGAAAAAAATTCGAGGAGACTTGGTGATTTACTAGGTACTTGTCTGTTAATTACTTTGGAATGAAAAATCATAATGGGCTCATTATCAGAAATATTCATTAGAAAAACTCATTAACGATCCAGAGAATATAATTTGTCATTTGATCAGGTGAAATGTTTGATATTATTATGAAAAAATGATAATTTAATTGGAGATATGGCTGATATCACCTTGGAGGATTGATTTATCAGCTGGAGCAACTCGGAAATTCATTTATTAGCATATCCATCATATTATTTGAATGATAATGATCCAATTGGATAGTTGAATGCACAGCGAATCATATAATACTATAAATCGTTGGTACAAAAATATTCCTCATGAAAAAAAACAAATTCAAAATACAAAAAAGTAAAATGTGACTTATTGAGTATATTCTTATCGAAATTGTTTTAATGTCCATTTCTTATGAATTTTGGTTATCATAAAGATCTTGAGAGCACTGCTTGGAAGTCATCAAAGTTACAATATTTCAGTCA